GAAAACTATTTAGCAGGGACTCAAAAATCCCGGTTGTCATGAACGCATCCAAGCAATCCAGTTTCATAAAGGAAAAATAGAGAATTAACAGATTATAAGAGACAGATTATGATATACTTCAATATATTCCCTAAAATGGTAAGTGTCTGCTCAGGGGTAAAGAAGAAAAGGTCTCCCTTTTTTAATTTAATAACCAGACCCATAATTCTTATTAGCTAGCTACCTAATGTGCAATTGTAGTTTTGTTTTTTTCAGATAATGAAGCACCAAAAATTAAAGGATATAGACATAGCAATTTAAAGTTCAGATGTATAATTATTACAAAACCTATAGATTATATTTAACAAAAGAAACTGTTGTAGGCTATGAAGTTAAACACTATTCAAAGCAGAATTTAAGCAGTGAAACAGGGGAGTTTGCGTACGTGTGGGTGCGTGTGTGTGCGTGTGTGTGTGTGTATGTTTGGTTTGCACTGGTAGCAGCTTATTAGAGCAAGTTATAAAAGAATCTATTTATTGAAATCCAGATTTAAAGAGTTGGTTTATGCAGTATCAAAGTATCCCTTAACTATAAATACTTTTGAAGTCTTATTTGAGCAGGGCCTGACAAGAAGCTAGTATATGTATATATTGTTTTTATTTTCTGAAACATTTATCATTTATAGATGATTCGTCTATGTAAGAGTTTATTTTATCATACGGAGCGGGTATAGAAAGCGAGCTGGCATTAGGAAAAAGAGAGATTTAGGTTTAAAATTTATAGATATATCGATGAGAAACTGTGTTTGTACATAAGTCGCCTATATGCTTTTTCACCACGGTTCTTCAGCCTCATTCTAAGTTGCACATTAAGTGTGTGTAACCCAAACAGAGATCACAGATACGCTGCCGTCGGATTGGTGACTTCACCAACAAAAGATAAGGCTTCAACAAACAATATGAGAGAGAGTTTAACGTTACCCAAGTTAATACCAACTTCCACTATTGTACAGTATGTCGTATGTTTTTGGAAGTTTGTTTAAAAAAAAAAAAAGAAAAGAAAGAAAAAAATCCAATAAAATGTTGAATAAAACAATCCTCAATCACTTTTGCCTCAGGAAAGCACACATTAAAGGCAGCATCGCAACGGAGATGTTCAGAAGACAACAGATAATAATGGGTGTGTTTGTGCAGGCGCAGTGAAAGCAGATCGCTTACGACACCGGTGAAATCGTGGCTGCTGCCAGTCAGAGAGAGTCTGTAATATTTGGAGCACATAAATCCCAGGAACTGTGAAAACGTGTTCGTGGCGGTTTCTTTTTTTCTTTTTCTTTTTTTGCTCCAGCCGCTGAAGGTGACTTAAATATGCATAGCAGCAAGGGCTTTTATACTAATATACTGGTCATTGAAGAAAGCCATCCTGTTACTGCCCTCTAGCCAGTCGTGGTCTCTGTCTATACTCTGCGTGGTGTGCGTCTATAACCAGGAATGCAATGGACTTCTGTTCAGACCACAGCAATCACCAGTGGGCAAAAATAACCAAGCCACAGCTGGGTTTTTCAATGGCGTTTGAAGCACAAATGTAAACAATATTAGAGATACATAGAACTCTGAGGGGTTGTGTTCCAAATCGTGAATGAAATCTGCTGTAGGGACTTCCTCCAAACAGAAAAATCTGGAGTTTTTCCTCAATGCCAGGAGCAGGAATATTATTTCAAATGACCGTTTGGAACAAAACTCATAGTAGTTGGATAGAGAACTCTGGCAGATTTACAGACGTGAAGCTAAACGAGAGGTTTCTTCCACCACATCTGCGACGTGTCTTTGAATCTGAAACGTCTCAGCAATAAAGCTGCATTTATGCACAGTCAGACAATCTGGACCTTTAACCCTTTGTGACATTGATCTGTATCTGAATTGGGCGTGAACGTGCCACAGAGTGCCACATAGAGTTATAAACACAGTGTCTCTGTTTGAGCTGTCTTTAAATGCAGCTTAAAATGCTTTTGGGAAATCCAGACTGTGTGTGTGTGTGTGTGCGTGCGTGCGTTCCCGCGGGTGTGTGCTCTCAACCAAAAAAAGGTAGCATGCAGTGCTTGTACAGAGCATAGTGTAGTAACAGTCACCACTGGTCTTGCTGTTGGTCATGAAGACAGTGAGCGTATAGTAGGACCCTAGATCGATTTTAAAACACAAATATATATATAAAATGTATAGTGTGTGTAAATGTCTCATGGGTGAGAGGCTGTAAAAGAAGCTAAATGCCGAAACAAATGAAACCACGAGAGAGTCCATCTTTCACTGTAAAACCATCAGGGATCATTTATTGTCACCTTTTACCTGTATGAATCATTAAAGTTAAAAAAAAAAAAAGGACAAGTGCATGACCTGGACACCCGCCCTAACCCAACCCTACTACTCCCCCCCCACCCCCTTTTGACCACACAAACCCCTTCGACCTTTGACCTCCCACTTCACAGGTTGCCATGTCGTGTTTTTTTTCCAGTGTAAATATCACACGAGAGCCGGCTAGAGTCCGCTTCGAAACAGACACCAACAACATGTAAATGCCATGTAAATCTCAAACATACACACACACGCGCACACGAGAGGCACGAGAGAGGCGTTTGCACACCAAAAACGGCAACACAAGCTGGAGCGTATGCAAGCCGGAAACTCCCTGCCCAGACTCGTGCTACTCGTGTATAAAAACAACGAGAGAACATAACGAACAAGATCAGATGTTGATTTGATCAATAAAACGACAAAATGCATCGTTGTGCGTATGTGGCTGGCTCATGCGGACTGTTTAAAACTCATTTTAAAAAAAAGTTGTATTCGGATATGAGAAAAAATAAACATATTGGTCTGTGTAGAGTTTCTATACATGTCGTGTTTGTAAAATGAAAACATCAAAATCAAAAAAGGGAAAAATATCCTGGCTTCCATGTGACTTTTGGGGTGGGTGGGGGGGATTTTATGGAGATGGGGAGAGGGTGAAGCGGACATTGGAAATGTGTGTGTAAAAAAAACTAAAATAATTATAAAATAATGCAATTGAATGAAGTAAAAGGTTGAAAATAAAATACAGAAAAAGGTGGAGAGCCTAAAAATGAGTACAAAGTGTTCCATTCACTGTTGTAAGTGCAATGAGCTAAACTTCCTGTTTCCCCATTGTAAAACCTTGTGTATGTTTCCGTGTATTCCTCCTGTAAATGGGTGTAGTAGACCTGGTGCATCATGCCATGTAATGTGATGAATGACAAATTATGACCTTACAATACATTTCAATCAGGAAATATAAATAAAAAAAACAAAAACAAATACATTAAAAATATGTTTACGCTTTGTGTTTTTTAAAGCTGTTGCTTTTCTGTGTCTTTACTGAGCTGATCCATCGTTCATAACTTGGCACGGCAGTTGATCTCTGCTTTGAAGCATCATCTTCAATATTTGGAATATTTGGAGTATTACCATTTGTTTTTGGAATATGAACATGTGCATCCATGCAACCATGTGGGCACCTGCAGAGATTTTTTTAAGCGCTGACAGCTACATCATTGAAGCAGGCTTCTAACGGCAGCTGTGGCATGCAGCTTGGACCTTGCAGATGCCGCTGATGTTCTCAAGATGCAAAATGATGCAATTCACTTCTGCAGGCCTGTTGATTTTCAGCTTAAACAGGAGACAAGTGAAGCCAGTCCCCAGGCCATTGTTTTCTAATAGCTTCGTAAGAAGCGCTGACTCTGTCTCCCTCTGTGGCATCGTCAGCCTCCCTAAACACGCCGCACACACAAAAACCCTTTAAACCCAGTTTTGTTTAGTTTTTTTTTATCATTTACTAACAGTGTGTACACACATAATTGATTTATGCATATTCTTATACCTGAATTTGTTTGTATTAAATAAAGTTTAGAGGTATTCCTCACTATGTGCACAATTAAATATTAAATACAGCCCCCCCCCCCATTTTTGCACATGTCGAGGAGCGTGTCAGGCTACATTTCACTGTGTGTTATACTTGTATAACTATGCATGTGACAAATAAAGAACCTTGAACCCTTGAACCTTGAAATGGAGGCCGTGCTCGGAAAAATTTAAATGCAAGTCATTAAAAAGAAAAATGGAATGCTTCAATTGTCATGTTTGCACATGAGAGAAAATGGGCCTTATTCACTTATATTTGCATATAAATGTTCTCACTCTGCGCACAAAACACATATGCAAAATTCCCACTGGATTCATAAAATCTGCACAGTAGCCTGTTTAGTGCTCAACCACCATCAAATCATTTTCATTTCCTCTGAGATGCTCACTGTGACTCAAATTTATTTAAAAATTTACTTGTGTGGACATCCAGTAATAACGGTCACTTGGATTTTTTTTAAAGCCTTTTAATTTTGTTTTGTTTTCTTTACAGTACGTGCACTTTTTTCATGATTTGTTTAAATCGTGTATGCTGTCTTTCCCCATTGTAGCCTCTCAACATCTCCTGTGATTGGCTCCACGCACAGCTGAATCACAGTCTTACATGTGTAGGATGTCATGACTGCTGTTAGAAGCCCACTGGAGTTAACGCTGTACTTGTCAGCACTCAAAAAGTAGTGAAAATAATCCCCAGTTAAACACGCCCACTAGGAAGAGTCTTCTTGGTGCTGCGGGGAGCAAGGAAACATGCCTGCGCAAAAATGTCATTTATAAACCAACTTCTTTTTTGTAACCGTCTGACTTTTAAACAAATGTACTTGTTTGCAACCACGCAGGTTCTCCTCGCACAATCATCTTTACTTTTGAGAACGATGTTATATCCATCATTGATAGTAATACAGCTGGATCACACAGTCTTACATGAGTAGGTTGTCACAACTGAGTTAGAAGCCCACTGCAGTTAAATATGCACCCACTAGTAAGCATCATGTGTCCGGGGATGCTACAGGAGTGCAAAGTCAGTACTTACTCATGCATGTTTCCAAAAAAAAAAAAAAAAAAAAAAAAAAGGAAGAAGAAGGGAAGGGTCCCAAAGCTGACATTAGGATTTTATTAGTAGACATTTTCCCCATTCATAGAATCTAACAAGCTGTCCACAGTATGGATACAACCCCTTACAGACCCCTCCCGACTTCAAAATAAAACTTCTGGTTGTCACCAAAAACTGTTTAAATACTATAAAAATAAAATCAATTGCACAAATATGCCATTTTGCTTGCGATTACTTCTGTGCAACACTTTTACACATATATTACATCGACAACCACATGACACAATCGAAGAGAAACAAAATTCAACAGAAAACATTTTCCTTAATAGAAAGAGCCAACAATCAAAGCAACATAAAATCCTAGAATTAGTTAAATAACGTTTATTAGTTGTATAACTGGTAGAGCTTGATGAGCACTGATGAACGTGACGGTTACATGTGTTTAGTTTTCGCCAGTTAGTAGTTTACAGTAAAAAATTACCAAGATCATTGTGTCTGTTTGGATTCATGTACAGCTGCAGAATTTGGTGAGTGCTTGACTTTAGCCTTCTGTGATGGCGCACTGGGAGTAGTGTTTGTGCAATAAGCTTTTTAATAACACAAAACAAAAAAAAGTTGTTTTTAAGTTGTTTTTAAATGAATGTAAAAGTTCTGGATTGTACTGGTGAATTTAACCCAACATGTCCTGAATAGGTTACAGATACTGTACTGGCAAGTAAATCAGACAGATGTAACAGCCACAGTCAAAGGTTCAGTGTTCAGCTGGTGAATGTTTGCTTCAAGCCCCGATTAGGCGCTCTGCTCTTTCCTAAGCAAAACATTAAGAAACGATTTTGCTACAAGAGAGAAAAAAAAAAAAAACTCATTCATAAAACACCATAAATAACACACAAGTTAAAAATGGAAAACAGACAAGCTCGGGCACTAAGCATGACACGGTAATCCATTTTTGAAAAAAATAAAATAATACAAATAAAAGTCAAATTGAAGATGTGACAACACGGCTACCTGTAGTGACAAGTAGTACAAATAGGTTTCAAATTATCTGGAATGTATTAAACTAAGGCTGCAAAGTCAATATATAAAAAGGTACATCTCACTACTCAAAAGTGAAGGTGTGTGTGTGCGTGCGTTCAATGTGTCGCTGCGGGTGGAGGGGGGGAATGTTAAGCTGTGGTACAATAACAGACACGTGCAAAAGTTGCATAGGGTCGGTGCTGCAAGCTAAATATTCATGTGAAAATGTGATTTTTAATACAGAAACAAAACTAAATGTGATTAAAAATTAGATGCGTGCCATAACGTACTGAGCAGGGATCGACTTCAGCAGAACGCATCTGTCAAACAAAATTAGGCGCGTGTGTTACGATGTTAAGTTAGTACGCACATGTGAGAGCTGTAACCTGTTTGTTCTACATTTCTCACTCTATCAAAACCGCAGGGTGACTCGAGCTCTGCCTAAGTGCTTTAATCGAAAGCATTACAATGTTTAAAAACTTTAACCTTTTAATAAAACCTCAGCATAGCAACAAAAATTTAAATTAAAAAAAAAAAAAGAAAAAAAAAAAAAAAAAAGAAAAAGATGGATTTCATCCCAGTATTCATTTACCAACATGTCTGTATCCTAGAATCTGAAGGGAAATGTGAGTCCTGCTCAGTGACGATGCATTAAAATAATAATGAATGGGTTAAATGTAGAGTCACACTGTTGTTGAGCTCAACACAAATCAAAGGGAAACTGCACAACAGTGGACCTCATCTCGAGTTACCAATTTCTGGGACCCTGTTGGGACACTACCAACAATCCAAAACGTCTACAGTCTTTTTTTGTGTGTGCCAACATTCATTAGAGAAGTTCCGGCTTTTTTTTTTTTTCCTCCTCCTCTCCTTCTTCACTTTAAGAAATAGTGTTTCTGCTTGGCACATAAGTGTAAGAAGCAGCCTGCACAGACACAAAAGACTACAATCATCACTGTATCGTTTCTGCTTGTTTTGTTGTCCTATTATACGAGTCGACGCCAAGTTAATCTGCGGTCCGTTAACTTTTCTGTAGTCGCCATTTTTCTCCAGTTTTTCCCGTTCATGTCTGCTTATGTCACTTTGTCCATGAATCCATCCACCCAATCCTGCCACAGAACACAGTTATCTAGAGCTGCATTTGATACTCGGATTACACCGACAAGTTTCTTCTATGATGATAGTGAGATTTATAACAATCCAGTTCCTTTAGGCTCATATTTTCTAATTCATATCCGCACAGAAAAAACACCCTCTCCTGTTAATATGGCTTTTAGGTGCTTGTACGCATTTATACACGGGTTCACACAATAGATGAGCATATACCATCACTGTAATATTTACTTCTAGTCTTTTTGGACTCCTCTTAAGTTCACTAGTTAAAAGAATGGGGAAAAAAAAAAACCAAAAAAAAAAAAACGACTGAACAACAGTTTCATTCACAAGCAGCTGCAGATCAACACCCTTATCCTCTAAAGTCACATGTTAAACTGGGAAAATTCATTTGTGACATGTGAATGTTTTTAAAATGCTGCCATCAAGAGTCTTGGCGGGCAGATCCTCGGAGCACAGAGTTCAATGGCAAAGATGTTAAACATTCAGAACGGACCTGTGAGGTTTTTGAGTTGTTACCAACTCTCTGCCAGAGGGATTGACCTGGAATTAAATGGCCATTGTGCTCTAAAGTGTGCTTCAGCAGGGAAACAGGAGATGTTAGTCGATGATGGAGAGTAAGACTTGGAAATAATATAACAACTTCTCTTAAGTGTGTGTGTGTGTGTGTGTGTGTGTGTGTCAGCGCAAAAAAAACCCAAAACAATCACTTTTACTGAAGACTCGGCAGTCAACAACGTTCAGCTTCTTTGTATGCATTTCCAATCTGAGTTGGTGTGCCTTGATGATGATTTGTATCATTTTATCTCCAGTTAATGACCGGGGGTGGGTGGGGGGGGAGGGTGTAACGGGAGGTTATAGATATGGTGGAGGAGGAGGAGAAAGGCAAGTAGGTTTTCAGTAGATATCAGGCAAGTCTTGGTAGTTCCTGTTGAAGTATCCACCAGTGTAGATCCAATCCTGAGAACCTGTGTATGGATTGGTGCCCATCTGGAACCACCTAAAAAAAAAAAAAAAATCAACACAGGTTACACTTCCGTAGGGATTTACTATGGCTTTGGTCTTAAGTGTGTTACCAGTTTCTAGATATAACTTTTACAATTAACCTCCAAGAAGTCTGTGTATTATTTTCCACCTGCATTTCCCTGTCAATCTGTAATCTTAACAGCTGTCCTTCCTTTCTGCGTCTTCAGCCTGCAGCTCTTTTAATCCATTATTCAGTTCAAAACTTTCTTCACAAACCTCAGTTTTCATACGGTATAAACAAATAAATCTCATCAATGATTAGTGAGCTTTAAATATACAGACTTCGCTTCACTGAATCCGTTTCCAGCCTTTGTAATAAAGTAAGCGGATGTTGGTAGCTTCAATTTTATTAAACAGAATGAGAGTGGAACACAAAATGTCCATTATGCAAATAATATTTTCTTAACACTTGCAGTAAAAGCTACATTCCATGTTGTGGCCATGGGTGAGGGTAGGAATGTAGATTAACCATTATGGTAACAGATTCTCCTTTAGGGCTCAGCTCTACTCTTAACAACTAACCAGAACAGTTTCTGCACCACTGCAATCCCCCTGCTATTCTCATGTACACTGGACATCTAACAGCATCATGAAAACTTCATTACTTTTGGTATATTTTGAAGCTGTTGTAAAGGTTACCACAGAAAAATTTATTAAAGTGAATGCATGTGTTAGTGTGCGTTTCTCACCTAGTAGACCACTCCTCATCTCTCTTGGCTCTCTCTTTTCTGGCAGCTCTCTGTTTCTCCTCCAGTCTTTCCTTTTCTTTACTGGCCTCATCTTCACAAGAATAAAGAGTTGAAAGGTTTCAGATTGTAATAAAACAAGAAAAAGTCTTGTGCTTATTTACCCCTTTAATTTCATTTGTTTCCATTTTTCTTTAGGCACCTGTGGAACTCACTCACTTTGGATTGCACAATACCATCAACATCCAGCAGGTGGAAGCACTGACTTATTGCCAATCCTTTGCTTTGAGCAGCAGAAGTAAAACATTTGTAGTTTCTTTTCTTTATTGGTTCTGTTTTGTTTTTTGTTGTTGTTGTGTTTTGTTTTACTTTCACAGAGTGATCATTCTAAAAGTCGTCTTAAACATCCACATAGTCATAGCATACTGGTTTTCTTTTTAAACAACAGTTCTGTCAAACAAGTTATTGAATGTCAGCCAGCGACGCATTCAAATTTGATCAGATAAAAACTAATTACCCATGTTGCTGTTCTCCATTGCTCTGATGTCAGGCCTGAAGCGACAGTCTGTGTGGGGCAGGATGGCCTCCATGCCGGGCTCCAGCTCATTCAGACACATCGCAAAGTTTGTGAAGTTGTACATCTGGGAAACAGAGAAAGAATAAAAGATGTCAAGAATGAGTGTGTTTGCGTGTGTGCGTTCTGGGCCACCAATTTGGATGTGTAACTTTATTTTTGATACCACAGAAGAGTGTGCTGGTCTAGAGTCTATCCTCCATAACAGAGTGCTTCCTGGTACAACAGACACAGTCTCTTGGACTTCGGGCATGTCATCTGCGTCATCGTTCTCAGCGCCCTCAAGTTCATCCTGTGAATGATACAACTCACTGTAACTACTGGACCAATTGATAGCATCAGCAGAGACTGAACGCTGCAGGCACAAACAGTTACCAGCGAGATCAAAGCTTCTGTCAGTATCTGTTTATTTCCAAACCTGCAGTTTGGAGCATTTGCACACAACTACAAATAAATAAGCAGACTAAAAGGGGAAGAGCTGAAAAACCTCTGCACTGATCTACACAAGCTTGTTAGTTTACCTAGATACAACCACACAGATTGCTGTGGACAATAACAGGAAATCAAGACAGAAGAAGAAAAGGAAATATGACTTAGATGAATTTATTTATTTTTTAAAAGAAAGAAAGAAAGCCCACAGACTGGCACTACACTGTTGTTTTTTTAGGATTTCTTATTGCAGATGTAAAATATTAGTTGCACAGGTTCTTACATTTTTCTGCTTTTTGTTGTCTCCTTTCTTCTCAGACTTCTTGTGTACTTCATAGGCCTGAGGGTCGACACTCCACATGCATTCAGTCCATTTCCCATAGATGACAGCAAGCTTCTTTTTACTGGATAGAAACGGAAGATGAAAACGACAGTAAGAAGATGTGGCAGGAAAAGGAGCAAAAGGGCAAGACACAAAAAGTTGGAGATGCAAGTGGAGAGAAGAAATTGTTAGAAAAGACAAAAAAAAAAAGAAAAAAAAAAAAAAAAGGAATGTAAAAAAGAAAATGGTCAATAATAGGAGAAGAAAAGTACAATGGAAAATGAGATTGAAAATAATGAAAATGCATTAGCATGTCTTTTTAAACGTTTGAAGACAGAAAGATTCACAATGTAGGTGACAAACCAGTTAGAGTAAACACAAACCTCTTGTCTTGGATGTATCCCTCCACTTTGTGTAGCTCTTTGCCAAACATCCCACAGGGCTTGAAATTCAACACACATTTGTCTCCAGTGCTGCAGGAAAAATGAGACAAGAGCCAATTAACATCTTTTCACTGGCAGAGCTCATTATAGTGAATTAAACAGACAAAGCAACATTATTTGACATTATAAAGTGGTGGATTTATCATGCAATTATACGTTCATATAAATCACTTTGCATGGCTATTTGTATAAAAGAGGTTCACGTTCAAACCCTGCTGTTTTGACAACAGTTAGTCAGTGCAAGTAAGGTCTGGCTGATTCACAGTTACTAGCATGAATCTGTGCAACTGTGTGAATAAGACACAGCACGCTTAGCAATAAGGACAATAAAAGCTTTGCACTGCTTTCCTAGAAAAATAAATGTTGAAGGAGACGTTGTTTGCCTGTGAAGCCACACAGACCATAAGCAGGCTGGTGTCTAGTATTAGACGAAACAAGGAAGGTGCACGGCAGGAATGGAGAACTGTGGGTAAACATTTGTTAGCCTTACAGTGTTTCATCTGAACTTGACTGCAGTCATTTCCTCACTCTAGTTATAGGGAAGCATTGTGATCAATACAGGTTAAACACTTCTTAGTATCTAGTTCGGTATTTTTTTTTTTGGTATTTATTTATTTATTGTCATTGTCAAGAACAATGAAATTGCATTTGGGGCTTCCATACAACCCAAAAAAAAAGAAGAAAATAATAAATTCTATCATGCAAGCATCATTTAAATACCTGTGGTTGACTATTTCTACTGTGCCATACTGTTCTATCCACAGTTTTCCCAGTATGACATTGTGTACACAGCAGTTAGGGTTGCTCCATGTGTATGCCTCCCTGTGCCTGGATGAAAATTGCAGGGGGGAGAAAAAAGGAAGAAAAAGGGGAAATAAGAATGAAGGAGGAAGTTTTAAGAGGGAAAGGTGAAAAAAAAGTCAACACAATGAGAAATCAGTTTTAGAATACAATTAATGAATAAATAATTTAAACGCAAAGATTTTAAGTGACCAACTTGAGTAGCTCTAGTGTGATAGTCCCTTTAGGCTCTGCCTCAACACTCTTGCCCCAGAATTTAAGTTTAGGGTAGATGGAGCCGTGGAACACGAAATCCCCAGCCAGGCTCTCTGCATGAAATGCACTCACTGGAGGATGATGGGATACCTGCTCAGACACTATTCGGAAATCCTGGTCCTCTCTGCAAGAAGCAGGGGTGAAAAGAGAGACTGAAAGCTAACTGGTAAAACAAAGTGACCTCACAAAAAACGAGAGAGAAAAAAGCAAGTGTACCTGATAAGTTCATAGGTCTCTCCCAGCAAAGGATTAAAGGGCTTTCCAGTTCTGTCCCACTGCGACGCAACTGCTGACACAGCAAAAGCAGCTACTGCCTAAACAGAAACAATTACAGACCAAGTTAGCATGCGCGTATGTGTCCAAGTCATCTCTTGAGTATGTCTGTTAGTGTTTTGTTTTTTCCTTCTCCCCATACTATGTCCAGATTATTTGCATTTCATTTATGATATTCGATTAGATAATTTTTTTGGTGGCTCTACTACAACCATTCAAAGCAATGGACAAGAGAGGTAAAGACAATGTCATTGTGGGGAGCTAGGGTGGAGTGGGTGGAGAAGAGTGTCAGGGGTGACAGCAGAGAAACATGGTAGATGACACAGGACGTGTGTGTCCACGTCTCTCCCTACCCGCATGCGCTCTATGGAGTCGGACATTGAGGAGGTTCTGTTGATGAGGTAAGTGTGTTCCATATATTCCGTGATTCTCTGCAGGAAGCTCAGCGGCTCGTTGAAGGCAATGGGCATCGTGATCTTGGACAGTTCCTGTTTAACATTAAGATAAAAGCTGAATATACTCTATTATATCACAAAAACTGTAATTGTGTCAGCAGCCAAAGCACTAAACACTAGTTAAACCACAGGTTAACTAGAATAACTCCTAAAATACAACATGACTAAACACAGTAGTGCATATAAAGGGGGAAAAAATGGAAAGAAATTACAGTAAATTATAATGGGGAAAAAAGCTACCTAACATATTACCCTTTATACTATTGAACTCTAAAACGTTTTTCAAATTGTGGTTTTAACAAGTAATTTTATGTAATACATTTTTCTTGTTTCAGTTTATCTGTGTGCAAATTAAAAACTGTAAATACTGCCCAATATGACTATGAAAACCTCTCTATGAAAGCCTTTCATGTACAGAAGAGAAGCTCTTAAATCTGATAACCAGCTTTCCCTTACCAGTCCAATACATTTTTTCAGGATACTCCACACACTGATATTGTTTCTGGAAAACATGGGTGCAGGGAGAGATGTCCTGAAATGGAGAAGAAAAGAAATATCCAAGGTTGCAGATAAGAGATAGTGCGTTCAGGTTTGTTATCAGGGCAGAAGATAAAGAAATTCTGCACGAAGATAAGAACAAGTGCAAAGCCAATTCATCTCACCTCTGTTCACAGGAACTAAACCCAGTCACCTAACTATCCTAAAATTCCTACTTGGTAATTTTCCACTGACATCTTAAAATTTATAAAAAGGAAATTAACTCAAGTAAACACACCACACCTTCACATATAGGTCACCCAAGTCAGCCCCCCACTGTGAACAACAACAAATCTCCCCCCCTCATTATTTTTAAGTTTAAAAATACGTCACCTTTAAACTGCTGCACCCATTGTGTGCCTTTCTGTGTATGCGTTTTGTATGAAACTGAGCCATTACAAATTGTGACCCTGCCCAAAAATGTTCCACTTAACTCAATTGTTTTTGACCAAGAGAGTACTTATCCACAAACAAGTACACAAACAGCAGATGGAATGTGGGTGAGGAATGCAGGAGTACCTGTGTTTCTTGATGCCATTTTCTTGTGGGACTGATCCATTGTTCTTCTGGCTGCTGCTGTCAATCCCTTGTGCATCTTTGAAACTGGCCTCCGACAGCCCCTCGCACGACTCGTCCGATTCCAGGCCTGCGGAAGAAAAAGAAATGTGGCATTCAAAGAAAACCGACGTCATAGATATCCGCACCATGTCATCTTCTTTACACTTGTTGTAAACTAAGAAACCTGGGACAACAACAGTAAACTTGTTTATGAGGTAATAACAATCTACGTCTCAATTCAAACCTTTCACATAAGGAAGCCTGGCCACGACAACATAGGGCCACATTTAACACAAATACCTTTCGGCATCATTGCTCAACATGGAGGAGAGCATATTATAAGGAGTCATATTCGCCATCATAATCTCAAAAAAAGGACAGATTGTGAATATCTTGCATCTCGTCAGTGGATTTAACAAAAAGGCAGATGTTCATGGCGTGGGAATGAGAATGGGCTGGAATAATCTGCAACGTAGTACTGTAGGATGGAGTTGTGGGCAATTAAAGGTGGTGCATTAACAAAAGCTTAAAAACACTAATGACTATCATTACTCAGAAAACACGCCTAATCAGGTGTCAGGTACAAAGGTGCATTGTTCGTATCGTCACATAAGTCACAACAAAATATTTTATTTTAGTACTGAGACACCCTGCGACAGACTGGCGACCTGTCCAGGGTGTACCCCGCCTCTCGCCCTATGACAGCTGGGATAGGCTCCAGCGCCCCCCGCGACCCTGAAAAGGATAAGCGGAAGCGAATGGATGGATACTGAGACGTCGCAAGTTCCACTTCCTGAGAAACAAAATGTATTGCACAGTATGAAACTGACTCATTAAATGCAGGATGTGCAACACAAAATTATTTGTCACACATTAGTGTTGACCCATAGCCAGGGTTGTGGAACTTTAAATATTTGATAATCTCTTTTCATGTATTATATAAGCTGCACTTCAACAATGTCTTTCAAGCTTCTGTAGGTGTTATGAAGGTGTGCCCCGGGCAAATCATCAAGCACATTAGTAATATTTTTAAAATAAATAGTTACAACAAAATATTTGAGGGTAAATTAAGAAGAGAAAAAGATGCTAAAGCCAAGCCAGATGATACCTGATGCTACCACATAAATAATAGATCACCCCTGTTCTGCATCTGTCTCAAATTACTAAGATGATCATAACAATGGCACAAAGACAGGTGCAGGCACACACACAGCCCTTTTATTTATACCTGAATGGAAATGACTTGCTAAAGTGACGACAGCCATATAGCAATGGCTCTACGTCAACATGGGGTAATCAAACAACAAAACAGTGATTCTAATATTTATTAACAGAGAACACCACCCTGCCTGCCCTCTTATTATCCTTGCACAGAACGAGCTGTTAAATAAGTGGCTGCACTGCTAATTTATCTACAACAATAAAGTGTTTGCATGCCTTTATTTCTCAGAGTTAATATTATAATCATATTTCAGCATTCAATGCTGAACCTACACATGCTGACTTCATTAATCCTGAGATTTTATATTGTTTTGATGTCTTCTAAACTTGAGGTAGATCTGCCTAGAGTAAACAGTTCAAAGTTCATCTCTCCTGAGTTTCCAGGTATCTGCTTCCAAGAATGCTTGCTCACAAACCCCAGGCAAGTCACCATGGCTGTACTTTGTAATTGTAAATGGGTACTGCTTGATATCAGACCTTCACCTGGACTGTAACATTAGGCTGCACGAAATCCTGAGAGTGCTGACTTCAAGGACTATTAACTGCTGCTCACCAAAAAAAGAAATGTGAAAATACTTTTAAAAAGAGTGAAGTCTAGTTGGCTTCCTCAAATATGCTGATTTGGGGTAGTCACTACTATCCCACTGACACAAACTTTGGCAGTTTCTACCAGATGAAATTTCTTTGTGAATATAATACAGGCACACAAGTATGAACCACACACCCTCCAGGTTGTTGTTGATATCACTAATCATAGTCGTAAGACAGCCAACCTCTGAATTATTCAACTAATCATCAGACGAAGGCAGGTTAAGTTCCACTGGACAGCATTGTGCTTCGACAACAAAAACAGACCATCTAATTAGGAGTGGCAGCCTCTTGCAGAAAAACCATGTAGCAATTTCCAGAGAAAGACTAAGACCTAAGAAAAATAACGATTACATATATACATCAGGTCTAATAAATACCAAAACGCTAAACAAAATATTTCTCTTCCTCTAAAAACCCTTTTTAAGTTTTTAAACTACCAAAGGAGAAGTGAGAACTACAAAACACAATACAGTCCTGAAATACAGGAAGCATGCATGTTTCCCCTTTCTTAATAAAAGATCAACTAGAGGGAAACACATCAATAAGTATGTACATTAAGCACCCACCTGTGACGGCATCGAAGAACTCATCGTCATTGCTCATCTTCTAGAGTCAAAGCTGACCGGTTGTTTAGGACAGATGTTGAACTTCTAGCACATGTTCCTTTTGGTGGCTGCTCTGAAAAGTTACTCTGGAGGGAGACCTGTCAATCTAGGTCTCGCTTGAGTGTCACCACAACAACAGAGCAATGTTTGTCTGATATCGAGACAATGTCCCAAATACAGCTTCACACAGATTTTCAGCAGATGGTCTGTCCTCAGAGGAATGACACCAGCAGATGTCAATTTGAGCAAATCAGCTGCTTAGTTAGCAGACAAACAACGGATGCACTTCCAGTCTTCAATTTATGTGGCTCTTTTGACCAAGGCAAATGAATAATCTGTAGAAAGAAAAAAAAGAAGAAACAAATATATTACTAACAATCAATATTAAAAGGTTATAACTAGTGTTTACTTGCCATGTTTGTTCCCTCCACTTTTTTTAAGTCAAAAGTGGAAAAATAAAGTCAACACATTAAAGTTCAAACCTCCAAAAATGTGTTATTTTTGTTTGTTTTTTCTTAAAATGGGTATAATCCTTTATTCTCATTTAATTAATTGTAAATGCCTTTATACAATAACCAACTTGCACAAAACCCCCAAAACAAAGTCGAAAAATTTTTGAAACCAAATTACTTGCACAAATTTTATACAAATTTTATGTATAAAGGCCTTAAGGGTGTAAACATACTGCTGGGATCATAATGTTCTTAGGTTGCAATAATCCTGCAATTTAAGGTAATTTATAACTGAAATTGCCGTAGCCTCCACTCCCTCCAAGGGATTTCTACTTTCTTTGGAGTTGAAACAATTTGGGAGAATATAAACCATCATATGATTTTTCTTCAAACACATTCACACAAGCCCTAGAGCAACAATTCAATGGCAAATCAGAGACCTTTGTGAGCTACAGAAAGCTGCACACAATGTCATTGCATCCTTCATGCTCTGAGTACTAATGTACTAAGAATAATCAAACTTTTAACACATTTTCTTCCATTTTTGGAATGATAACCTTCAAAAATAAAAACAACATGCAGAGAAGATTGCATTAAGTGGACTATCTTGATGCTCTTTACAGTAGATCTAACCATCTGTTCCATCCGCTCAAAGTCTGCTTGTTCTGTCACAGTCACAATTTTGTCTATCATGGCTTGTTGCGTGAAAACAGAGATGTTTCTAGTTCAGTAGTTACACAATTGGGACACCACTGTCACAGGCATTCTGGGTCTTTGTTACCCTCTGCTTGGTACATTAGCTTCACCCAGTTTAAAAGCAAGACCCAGAATAACTTGTAACTCCCCAGGTCAAAATTACCAGCCCAGAGTTTTGAGAGTTTCAAAACACATTTTAACATGGACTTCAATTTTCAAGGAAGTAAAAGGAGTTGTTTAATTAGTAACTTAACCTTCAAGAAATACAATTCATAATAAACTGAAACTCCAGTTTATTCATCACACAGAACAAAAAAGTAATGCCAACGGGTCAATGAGTGTGTCAATTAGGGCTGCACGATTAATTGTTAGAAAATCGCGATCTCGATTCATACTTATGTGCGATCACATTTCCAAATGACAACGATTTAAAAAAAAAAAAAAAAAAAAAAAGACGACGACGATTGTACCGCATTTTGATCCGGGACGTAATCTGCATGAAAACAAGCGCTCACTCTTCCTGCTCAACAAATGACAAGGGCGGAGCCTTATACCACGTGATACAGAAGCTGTGCCGCGTGATGCTAAAATTAGCAGGGAAAAAAACAACGGCGAACACGTCAGGGATGACGACAAAGTGACAGGAGAAAATCCGTCCCAGTCAACCACCCAAACATCAATAACGGGAACCTTATACAGCCCTTCCCTATACCCGTCGAACTCCCGCAGGCACAAAGAAATTACGGAGGCTATCACTTATCACCTGACCAAAGATATGGCTCGCATCAACACTGTGCAAAACAAGGGATTTAGGAAAATGATCAACACCCTAGACAAACGCTACACAGTGCTGTCCCGCAACTATTTTTCTATTGTTGCACTACCTGTTCTATACACGCAGTGTCGAGCAACGGTGGAGACGGAATTTCAAGCAGTACAACATTTTGCGGCAACAACAAAACGTGAGACATTTGTTGTTTTTATGTTTATTTATTGTTTTTATGTTCAGTTTCAACTGTTACGAAGTTGATGTGCAGTTAATAAGTGCAATAAATATTTATACTGGAAAAGAAAATCGTGAGAGAATCCTGATCTCAATTCTAAGCCAAAAAAAAAAAAAAAAAAAAAAATCGTGATTCTCATTTTATGCAAAATCGTGCAGCCCTAGTGTCAATTAATTAGCAAAAACCCGAGCTGCACTTAAAAAGGAATTTGTTCACTGTGCCGACCATATTTAAAAACCATTTAACATGTAAAAACCTCACACAATATGTAAAAAGATTTTTGTTACCATTACACAGAATATTTTCATCTGGACACTTTTTTTTTTTTTTTAAACAATCAGCTTAGTTTTACAACCACTACTACCATGTGCCTGTTCTTACCAGTAATATAAGATAGCATACATCATTTTATTATGACACACCCCACATGTCAAATGTTGAGACACACACACACACACCCTAAGGAATAGGTAAACAAGGGCCCATTTATCCATTTTATCTTATCACCAATGGCTCTAAACATTAGAACTAGAATACCAGACAGATATATGAAAATTAAATTGGCCCCTTTGATTTATAAGGATGATAGAATATGTGAAACGCATGTGTGTTAACAACAATATGACAGATGTAATCTAGATGGCACCCTCCATTGGCAGGGTTACACATATATGCAATATTACTTACAACTATTACTAAAATTATATGCAATCTTAATATTTACAAGGCAACGAAATGCTCATATAATATTAATATTATATGAGCAAGACACACATCCTGAGGGAAGGGGAACAGGCAAAGGTGAATTTGTGTAAGACATACACATCTCATTCCACTGTATTCTGTGCGTTTTTTGTTTTTATTTTTATTTAATCCATTTTCCAATAAATTACATTGACACTTTTATCTACTACTGCCACAGAAAAAGAACTTTTGTAGATGCCTATTGTAGGACAAACAGTCCCATGCTAGAAGAAATTTTTGACTAATGAAGGCATGGCCCCATCCATCTAATGCAGGGGTCCCCAACTCCAGGCCTCGAGGGCCGGTGTCCTGCAGGTTTTAGATGGGTCCTTGATCCAACACAGCTGATTCAAATGGCTAAATTACCTCCTCAACATATCTTGAAGTTCTCCAGAGGCTTGGTAATGAGCTAATCATTTGATTCAGGTGTGTAGATCTAAAACCTGCAGGACACCGGCCCTCGAGGCCTGGAGTTGGGGACCCCTGATCTAATGGAAAACTCATTCTTATGGTCATAACTCCACTGATCAAGTTTTTAATCAGTGTTCCACCGTTTAACAGCTTTTAAAATTAGCAAAGTTCCATTTGCATTTACAATTTTCTGATTTATTTTAACAGCAGTATTTCCATCAGGAGCCAAACCAAATTACCAAATGTTATCCACTGTGTTTACAGCAGCCTTTGTGAAGCATAATAATAAAATTGTTTCAGATGAACCTATTTTGGGATATGCAAAAAAAAAGTTGATACCTACAGGTTACACTTAAGAAAAAAAAGCATCTCTAAACACAAAAATATGAATATTAATTACATTAATATAATTGTATATTAAACAGTAAACCTAAATTCCCTTCTACCCACTTGCTGCTTATTGGGATCCTCCTGCAAGTAATAGAGAGAGTAATAGCAAGTAACAGAGAGAGCACAGATTAATGTCTAAATAATACAGTAATGCAGTGTGACAGACCTCATCTCCAGAATTATAAAATCTTTACATACCTGAAGCATAAAGAAAATCCTAAAAGAAATATCCAGTCTCATACAGCTGACTGATTTAGAAGATAAAAATACCAAATTCAGTCTTGTTCCCACTCGCCTGGCCTTCTACACACTCGCCTGGCCTATTTCTACACAGTGGATGGGTTTTGCCCTTGCCAGAGAAAGGAAACGCCTTCAGCACACACATGAACTTTGGCCTCTGCGTCCACAATTGATAAGGTGGACAGAATGGATGATAAACTATTATTCAAATATTCTACCAGTTAACTCTGTGTCCAACTCAGCATTTTTCTAACTTGTGAAAGGCTGGCTTAAATAAGATCTAGATTTTTTTTTAAATTAATAAATAGAATCTCTCTCATTTTCCTACATTCAGTATTAGAAAGGATTTATACCAACATTTTTTAAAAGCAACAAACAAAGAACAAAGAAATTCCACTATAAAAGGGAGTTGACTGTATCAGCTGATCATATCAGTCAGGAGATCTACAGGACAAACGTGATATTTCCTGTGGCCTCACAAATCACATAAACTAGGGAACTCCCAAACCTTTAAATGGTTCTGCAGGACATTTTGGAATCCCAACCGGAGGAAATCTGACTAATGCACTTGTCTACCAGGGTTTGTGTTGAAAATATGATTGAAGAAAACACCACCTTCTCTAACTCACTTCTTAAAGATTGAGTCGTGGTATGATAATCCTTATTCATATTTCAGTGCATTCATAGTCAGTGGTCTGTGGAAGCTATGTGAACATAATGTTACAGCAGATTCTGAACAAAGCTGTCAGTTAAAAGGCATGTCGCACATTGTCTTCACATCACCAAATGAATTCCCCCCAAATACCTGACCACTGAACCTTATATATAGCTATAGTATACAGCAACAGAATGACAGACAAAACACGTTTTCCCAACCTTAACATCCATGCACAAAGCAAATATGACTGAAAATAAAATTTGCGTATGACATTAAATGTTTTGTACAATAGACAGGCCACTTCACAGTTTGTAATTCAACAGTGCTACAATCTCTGTCACCAGAATCAATATCCTTCAGTGAAGCTTTCTAAAATAAGGCAATATCAGAAATGGATATCCATCACATTTTCCTAGCTCCACTAAGGCACACAGAGAAAACAGGAAGATGACGAGTGTGTGCTTTAGTGATGGAAACTATCATCAATAATAGAACTGCATTATTGACTTGATGAAATAAGCTGACCTAGTTCTCACTCAGAAAAGTCAAGACAACACTGACTCGAACTCTAAGCTCATTTCTCAAACTGCTCTTTGTTCACAACCCATTAAAAAGCAGACCCATTTTATAAGGTTGGTTAAACCTATTCAGATCATAAGAAAATTTCTTTTGATAGAGATGCAGCACTTGAGACAAAGTATGACTACTGCACTCAGGCTGTAGCTGGTCTTTGTAAGATGTCCAACTAACACTACTTCTTAAAGCTGTTCTGAAGCACAGTTTCAGAGGCACATGACGACCTGAATAATTAGGTTTGTGTATTTGAAAAGTAGTAAACTGAGTGCAATACTTGGAAATTAAAGACTGTCTAATCTATTAATTCTATGTGCTCTAATGTATTCCATTAACAACACTGTTAATTTAGTATTCTTTTATATTTTGTAGAACAAATATTTCCCCAGGATTCCTTCTCAGCATCAGCAACAATAGATGAAAGTGAAAATAAATTCTTCATAATCACTGACAAGCCACCGTTTTTATCTGCACACACTAAAACTTGAATTTCAGTTTAAATCCATGTTTAGAAGTTTTGTTTTGCTTTTTGATAGTCTTGCATTTTTAAAAGAACTTACTTTTCATTCCAGAATTGTGCAGATAAATTAAACAGATTCTAACACACACCCACAGACAGCGAGAGAAAAAGAGAGGTATCCGATTGGCTGCAGCAAGCTCTCAGATAATATCACTCGCTGTCTCACACGCCTTGTGAGCCATTACGTAACCATGACAGACATGGCACCATATGAGCACCACAACCACTCTCCTCCGTACTTTGATAATAGCTCACCAAATGTAGCCACAAAAAAGGTCAGCAGATGAAAAAAAAAATATACACAGAACAGAGAGATAAAGCTTTGGAACAGAGATAACTTTACCCCATTCCTCATTCATGTAACTCATTTCAAATACAGACCCACAGACTAAGCTTTCTGATTTAGTTCACTGTCGGTGTCCATTTTTCCAGAAATATCAGGAGAAAGTAAAATAAAACTGTTATGAAACTTTCTAAATCAATAATTAAATAAAGTTAGTTAATTACCTGCAAAATTAGATATAGCAGTACCCATATCAAAGCTTGAGCTAAACCTAAAATAAAACTTTATATCATGAACTAATCCATTTTTTTTGGATAAAATGATTTATAAATACATAGTGACAGGACCAATAATATCTTCTCTTTTGAAGACAAAGACAGACATTTTAAAATATTACACAGGGTACGTGCACAGTTTATCCCTAGATTTTCTAATTTTGATAAAACATGAGACACTACTTAAACTAAAGCAATTGTTACAAGACAAGTGATTGTGTCAAATCGCACTCCGAGTCCTTCATTAATTACAGATTGTAAAAATTGTCACCAAATGTTGTACAATCATTTGAAATGCAAACCTACTGATGCCAAAATTCCATTCATAAGCCAAGTAATGTCTGTCTCTGCTGTCCACCGCAGACAAAAACATCCAAAGCCAAAAGGCGCATAGAGAGAGAGTCAAGAGACTGGCAGAGGTAGAGCCAAGGTGAAAGAAAGTAAAGGACAAGGTTGCCATGCAACATACTGATACAGCATACACACACCTCTATATTTCTCTTTACACACACCTACCTCAACAGGGGACACACCTCTACAGACTGAAACACATACCAAGTCAGTTTCACATACAAACATGCCACTGATGGCAGAAACCAAAAAAGGCTAACATTAGAGAAAGGTTGCACCTGAGGTAGTGCTGTACTTCTGGTGATATGGCACTAGAGCAGGGCGATATGGCCAAAAATATTTATCACGATATATATTTGAAAATTTGCGATAACGATATAACTGACGATATAATTGATGCGAGACAAAATACAACTCCATAACATTACTAGCGCAAAAAGACAACCTTCCATTTATTTTCACTTAAACAAGAAGCTGGTTTTTATGTACATTAAAGCTTTATAAAAATGTAACAGTGCAAATGCAAATTCCTTGCTGAAAGTTTAACCAAAAGGCATTTCCAGTAGAAATGGGCTGACATATCCTGAGCATAACCATGTTTAATATCCACTGAAGTTAAAAAGAGGTGCTTTGCAACATTAAACTGCAGTGTGCAGTACGTATTTTTCAGACCATAAGGTGCACGGGATTATAAGGCACATTAAGCGAAACAAAGCAGTCAGATAAATCAAACTTTATTAAACTCATTCTTCTTGCTTCCTCCACTTCTGTACCATTGATTCATTAATGTTGAATTCTCTGGCAGCTGCTCTATTCCCATGTTGTTGCAGTATATTAATGACTGACCTCGTATTGTGGATGGATTATCTCAGTTGTTCTCCTGACTGAAGTTTGGTCCGTTTACAGCATCCTGCCATGCGATTGCATTTGTCTCTAACCATGAGGAACCTTCACGTTAACTTTTATAAGTGGAAAAGTGTTAGTGTTCGTCCTCCAGCTTCACTGTTTATGTTATGCTAACATAGCTGTGTCGCTAGCGATCACGTAGCACATCATAATATACCAGCTAGCCCAACTTCAGTAACCCTACAAACGTCACTGCTGTTTAGTTTCCTGTCTTCATTTATGTTGGAAGTGATAGCAGAGCTGTACGTTTGAATTTTTTCAGAAATCTCTCAGTCAGAACATGCAATATCATGCTTAGGTAACTAGCGAAACTAGCGAGCTAACTTCCGCTAGCTTCCTGCTAACTTCTAACTCCGTTAAATGTAATAACTTTTGTTTTCATGGATGCCTGGAAGTTAAACTTCATAGTTACACCTGGTAAAGCAGCAATGCTGATCGTTTTATTAAAGATGAAAGAATTTAGACAGTTTTCAACTCTCAGTGATGCTGCAGTGTTGTTTGACCTCAAGTCAAATCTTCGGAGTTTAGGACCCAGATTACTCCCAGATTTAAGAGCATCTTAGTCCGACAAATACGACAATAACAACGGCCGCTTGCATGTTCTGCAAAAAAATGTGCTTTGTTGTGTATCTGACAGACAAACACCAAACCAGTTCCACATCACCGAAGTTACACCATTTTTACAAACCAATTCTGGTTCCTCAACAATCGGCCATGTGCGTATGAAAACAAAGGCACTGCGCATGCGCATTTTACTCCCATTCTATCGCGATATTTCATTTTCCTATCGTTGCCTAACATTATACCGGTATTACCGTGAACGGTATAATATGGCCCAGCCCTATATGGCACAATACTTTCTTTGCTGATTAAATAGAATTGGTAAGGTAAGCTTCCACCATTTGTCTAGTTGCTGAATCTGGGACTTTAAGAAAAACGAACGGTTTTCAGATACAAATATCTATAAAGGTAGGCCTGAAAATATTTGTTGCCTAGCTCCCACATTAACGTTATCATTTTATTATTTGCAGATAGAGGTACTTTACACTGTTCCCTTACTTCCAAATGGGTTGCCACAGCACATGGAACCGCATGTTTGATTTGGTACAAATTGCCCTTCCTAAGGTTACTCTGCCATTTATCCAGACTTGGGACCAGCACTTTAAGTACAGTAACTTCTGTTTCCCTGGGACTAGATTTCTGTCCATCGGATATCTGCTAATAGTTATATGGTTAACATTCTCACTGGCCAGGTTAAAGTGTAGAATAACTGTTTAATACTTTTCAATGTGATGAAACAGGAGCCCCCACCCCTCACCCCAATTTTTCCTCATAGTGATTTATGGTGTTAGGATAGCCCACAAGGACAGCAAGTCCACACTGAAACTAAGAAAGCATCTGTGCTTTGGTTCTGTTTGTGCATATATAGAGACAGGACTGGCAACTGTTCTATAACCCAAATGTTGGAGGGAGTTCAACAGAGAGCAGCATTTTGCTGTGTGTGCTGTCTGTG